AAGAGGCAAGGTGGTAGTCACTGCTTGGTCACAGCCAGGTACCCAGAGGGACAGAGTAGTTGAACTTGTGTGCTCAGGACCATAGTCACAAGTGACATCAAGTTCAATTGGTATAACATACTCCACAAAATATTGTTCCACCTCCTACTTTGGCGAGTTGCCACTTGGATCTTTTAAGATCCTCTCCTGTCCATAACAAAAAAGAATGAACAAAACCAAAAATTCATGGATACAATCAGTCCTAGCAACTGGTACACCATCCAGTCTGCAGCCTATACTACTGAAACCAGAAGAACTAGATGGTGCCCGGCTACCAGTGTCAACCACTTGGAAGGGGATCTGTGTAGGAGATCTGGATAGAGAGGAAGAACAATTTGTACAAAACTCAAAATCATTTGGAGAAAAAATAAAAAGTGGAGGGGGGACCAGTTTTGCTGGTCTGATAGAGCCTGGTGGAACCACTGAGACTATGGCTCCTAGCTGCTCGTCCGGTCTGGAAGTGAACCCACACTTGTGGCTTCCAGCCAAGCAAAAGACAGGCATATGAGTTGAACATTTACCTGAGGTAGATACACTCCTTGGAGGAAACAATCATGGGAGAAAGAAGGGCTGTTTATGCAGCGGGAGATAGCTTGGGGGGCATGAGGGCATGGAGGGATGGACACAGGGAAGAGGTAATTATTGGGAGGAAGTAGGAGGGGAGCTGTTGCATTGTGATAAATTGTGGTCAATGTCATGAGACAAAGTGTATGTGAACTGTTGTATGGAAAGTGAATTTGCTCTGTAAATCTTCACCCAAATCACACACAAAAAAAAGAAAGATCAATCAAAAAAAAAAGAAAAGAATAGCAGGCTCAGGCCAGCTATGTCACCTCTTTCTGCATACTTACTAACTTTAAAACTTCCATATTAAAATTCAATCTCTTTTCTGATGCAAAATATGAGATATTTTAAATGAAAAAAATAGGAGAATTTTTTCAACTATTTTGTTCTTAAATTATGTTACAAATAATGATGCTATTTACTTTTTTAGAAAGGGTTATTTAATTTTATAGTAAGATCAGAAATAATTTGAATGTTTGCCGTAGCTGGGCTTCGGCTATCTGAAAGCTTTGTTTCATAAATATAGTACAAGATTGAACTATATGAAGTTACTGTTTACTTGAATAGGTTAAGGAATGAATATTGCTAATTTCATATATTTCATCCTAACATGAGAAGGAGAGGAGCTATGGATTCCTCATCATTATATAATAGTTTTACCTATTTTCAATACTACTTTTAAAAAATTAGTTATCCCTTCCTGCTAATATAATAATAAATAACATTTGTATATCACTTTAAAGATCACAAATATGTTTTTCACATTCTTATTTTATTTATCTGTTAAAAAAAATTCTAAACTTTCTTATGGTGCAGATTTTAAATGCTTATACATTCATTTCTCATTTACTGACCTGGTTAGGCTCCAAAGACCAGGTCATTAAATGAAAATAAGCATTATGCGAAAACAGAGAATGACCACATTACTTCACCCCCTCACTTGTGCTGTGAGCATTCCACTGGTTTAAGGTCACCTGCCACCACTGCCTCCCCCTCCCCCATGTTGCCTCAGGAGAGCTTGGCCCCTACTGCTGTGTGCAGGGGAGGGCCACCCAGTCTTTCTGAGCCCTCTCCTCTGCCCAGGATCCCCTGCCTCTCTGGCCTTCACCATATTTTCAGGATCGTGGCCTCAGCTCATCCTCTCAACAACTCCATGTGGCATGAAGGCCTGGGTACTGTGATGGTGGGGGTACACACAGCTAGCTGGGTCCCTCCAGTGGCCCCTTACCCATATAAGGCTCTTGCTGGGTGGCCCTGCCCTATTCCTCCCTCCTGCCCCCGTAGGAATCAATAATCCAAAGGTTCGTTTGAGGCCATGATGTCCAGGTCTGGCCTCTCCCCTTGAATTTAAACTGCAGCTGCCACTGACCACTCATCCACTGACCCTATCCCTATCCAGGTAGCCTGCCTCACCCTAACCTGTGCTTGCCCAGGAGGGGCACTAAAGAAGGGTAAACTGCTGCACAGGTACTGATCAGCTGCCATGGAATCCTGCAGGACCTGAGCACTCAAGTACCCTATCTTAGGGCTCTTTCTGACTATTGCCTGGCTTGGTATGGCCTGTCTCTTTTGCCCCTTGGGGCTAGGGGCTGGAAGCTGGCACCAGACCCCAGAATTCTGCTTCCTCCCTGGTCCTGAGGTGGCCTGTCTTCAAGACACCAACTTATGCTGCCCCAGCCTCAGCTTCCTGCGGGTACCCGGGGCCCAATGGACAGCACCCACTCCAGCCCCTCCTCTGCTCTGCCCCACACCCATGCAGCTTGAGGAGACTATGCTCCCTCTCCCATCCTGGGTGGTGAGGTTCTATGTCATATGAGCTTCTTTTTTACATGAATACAAAGTCAGGGACCCTGTCAGGGACCTCAATTTTCATTACTGCTAGACATACATTGTTAATGTACAAAATAGTTAGATAATAATTTTTTTTACTTTTGTAAATGCAAAATGTCGAATAATGAGATAGTCAATAAGTGAGGGGTAGATATAAATGAATTTAAAAAAAAATTTATCGTGGTCAAAAAAGACAGCAAAATATCTAATTCAACAGGTTTTACTTGTATAATTGACCTTGATTACGTTCATGTTGTACAACTGTTACCACTATCCTTTTTTTTTTTTTTTTTCCACTCTCCTTTTCCAAATTATTCCACCACCTTTAACAAATTCAGGACCTGTTAAGAAATGACTGCCCTTCCCAACCTCTTATGGAAAATAGTAAGCTTTGGCAAGATTCATCCATGTTGTAATGTGTATCAGGACTTCATTTCTCTTTTTAACTGAGTAACATTCCATTGTATGTATATACCACATTTTTTTTACTTATTCATCTGTTCATGGAAATTTAGGTTGTTTTCCATCTTCAAGCAATTGTGACTAATACTACAATGGATATTGGTTTACAGGTTTCTGTATGCATTCCTGCTTTCAGTTCTTTGGGGCATATATCTTGATTGGGATTGCTGGGTCATAGGATAATTCAATGCTTATATAATTATATTTTTATATATTTATGTAAAATCTTCAGAGAGACTTTGGGTTCTTTTTCTTTTCCTTTGACATTGTTCAAAAGTAAATTTTATGGTATGGAGCAGGGTCTTTGAGCTGCTATGAGGTAAAAAATGACACTGTTGGTGCCTTTTTTGTGTAAATATTACAGTAATACTCATTGCGTTTTTGAAATGTGAATATTTGATCTGTCTGCGTACCAATTTATTGTTGTTAGTTGTCATCGAGTCAGCTCTGACTCATAGTGACCTTATGTATAACAGAACAAAATGTTGTGAGGTCCTGTCGATTGTTATGTTTGAGCACATTGTTGCAGCCAGTGTACCAGTCTGTTTTTCACGAATTCTTTTAGTGCAGCTTCAACTTCTTCCTTCAGTTCTGTTGGTTCTTAATCATATATTACCTCCTGAAATAGATGAACAATGTCCAATTCTTTTATGTACAGTGACTCGGAGTCTTCCTCTCATTGTCTTTTGATGTTTCCTGCATATTCAATATTTTGCCCATAAAATCTGTCAATTTCTACTCAAAGCTTGAATTTTTCCTTCAGCTCTTTCAGCTTGAGAAATGCCGAGCATGTTCTTCCCTTTTGGTTTTCTAATTCTGAGTCTTTGCACATTTCATTATAAAAATTGACTTTGTCTTCTTGAGCTGCACTTTGAAATCTGTTCAGCTCTTTTATCTTGTCATTTCTTCTCTTGCTTTAACTACTCTCCATTCAAGAGCAAGTTTCAAAGTCTCTTGTGACATCCATTTTTGCCATTTCTTCCTTTCCTGTCTTTTTAATGACCTTTTACTTTCTTCACATATGATGTTCTTGATATAATCCCATAATTTGTCTGGTTTTTGGTTGTTGATGTTCATAGCATCAAGTCTGTTCTTCAGATGGTCACTAAATTCAGGTGGGATATAATGAAGGTCATATTTTGATTTTTGTGGACTTGTTTTAATTGTCTTCAGCTTTACTCATTCTGATACACATACTCATCCAAATTTAATTTTTGGCTAAGATATGTACAATCTATAAACTACAATATACAATACAAACTATAGTAGTAAACAAGTGCTTCGATACAGTTAAAAATGGTTTGATCATGGCTAATGGAAACAAGGGCAGCATATATGTTGCATAGCATCCAAATCTCTTGATTGTTGGATCTGACCTGAGTAGATAACAGGCAGGGATGTGCCACTCAAAGATAGAAGACAGCCATGCCAAGACATACAATCAAACTGGTGTAGTTTGCTGCCATCTTTGAGCAGGGCATTGATACCTGTTTGCTACCTGCTAGAAGAGATCTGGTTGCTATGCAACATGTATACTGCCTTTGTTTCCACCAGTCATGATTGAGCTGTTTTAAACTGGTTTGCAGCCCTGAGTAAAACTGGTTTTTATTTGAGGTTCATGGAAACAATCTAATTTTATAGTTATTTCTGTGTATGTATTTAAACTTATTTTTAGTTTCTCAGATAAAATCAGCTGCAGTTTGTCTGAAAAGATGTAGAGAGCAAAAAGAACATCTTTAAAGCAAATTTGTCTAAAAAAAGTATTGATAATAAACATCCTTTTCTTATTTTTAGAAATATTTGTTTAGGAAGTTAACTAAATGTACTTGAGTTCTTTTAAACTGACTGGTAAAGCAGAGTATATCATTTTTTAATCTATATTATACCACTGCTTTAACAGGTGTTTTATGAGCTACAATTAGTATGGAATAAAGTAGAATTCTGTTTTGTGTTGACAGTTTTGTATAGTTCAGATTGCTGTTGTGTTAGCTATTTATTTTAGGAACTTCTGTTAAAATATTAAAAATGTGTACTTTTTCATTTATGAATAGCTATGAATATTCCACAAGTAGTAACTTTGTTTTATTCTTATTCTTTTTTTGTAGCTATCATTATTAATTATGCAAGCTAAATTTTTGGCTGCTGAACTCAGTCAATGGCAGAAAAAAACTCCCAAAAGTAAGAATTTTATTTTTAGGTTTGTATTTTTGTACACAATTTAATGGTAAATACATTTAATGATCACAAGAAGAATTATAAGAAGCATTTGCCCTCCTTGAAATTGCCTAAATTACATTACTAATGAGAAGTCACTTCTTCTTTTCTTTCTTTATACACATGCTGTTTATTATTGCATCTGAGCATATCTAATATTAGATTATAATAATCTTGGTGATGGAGATCTTATCATAGTTATCCTTATAAACACTATCTTGTGCTCAGCAGAAACTATAAATTGTTTAATGTGTGAATCTTACTTGGTGAAAGAAAATAGTTACTTCATTTTAAACATTTATTGACATAAAGGTCAGATAGATTATAGGTTACCTCTAAACTTGTCCAACCAGGCCAACTATATTTTTGCCTTTAGTTGAAAAACATAAGATGGCTTAAAAGTTTGTATCAGTATCAATAACAAAAAGGCAAACCACCCAGTTAAAAAATGGGCATAGGATTTGAATAGACATTTCTCTAATGAAGCTGTACAGATGATCAAAAAGCACATGAAACGGCATTCAACTTCATTAGTCTTTATTCTTATTGTCTGCCATCAAGTTGACCTAACTCCTCACAACACCATGTACAACAAGATCGGAGCATTGTGATCCATAAAGTAGTAGATTACCAAACGTTTTTTCCTAGAGTGTCTTAGTCTGGAAGCTCCGCTGAAACCAATCCATTATTAAATTGTTGTTGTTATGTGCCGTCAAGTCCGACCCGACTCATAGTGACCCCTCCTTGGGTTGCCAAGGCACTATCACTACAGAAGTAGATTGCCCAACCTTCCTTCCGAGGAGTGGCTGGTGGGTTTGAACTGCCAGCCTTCTGGTTAGCAGTCAAGTGCATTAGGCACTATGCTACCAGAGCTCCCGTTCAGTCATTAGGGTTGTGTAAATTAAAACCGCAATACCACTTCACACCCACTAAGATGGCTATTACTGAAGACACACACACACAAAGTCCAGAAAATATAAAGTGTTGACAAGGATGTAGAGAAATTGGAACCCTTGTGCATTGCAGGTAAGATGGTGTAGGCCACAATGCAAAACAGTTTGGAGGTTCCCCAGAGAGTTAAACATAGAATTAACCATATGATTCAGCAATTCCATTGTTAGATATATACCAAAAGACTTGAAAGCAAGGACTCAAAGATAGGAGTGCACATACGTTCATAACAGTATTATTCAAAGTAGCCAAAATGTGAAAACAACAAATGTGTCTGTTAACAAAACATGATATATACATACAATAGAACATTATTCAGCCATAAAGAGAAATAAAGTTCTGATACGTGCTACAACATGAATGAACTTTGAAAACACGCTGAGTGAAGTCAGTCAGACATAATAATAAATTATATCATTTATATGAAATATCTAGAATACGCAAATGTGTAGAGACCAAAGCATACTAGTTTGTTGCCAGGGGTTGCTTAGAGGGGGAAAATGGGGAATTTTTACTTAAGGGAAGCTGAATTTTTGTTTGGAGTGATGAAAAATTTTTGGAAATAGATCATGGTTAAATTGTACAATATCATGAGTGTTAACAAATGCCACTGAATTGTACACTTAAAAATAGTTAAAATGACAAGGTTTTTATTATATATACTTTCCCACAATAAATTTTTTAAAAAATTCATAGCTGTGATCCAGTTAATATATTTTTCTATTTTAAAAGCTTAAATTTTTGTATTTCATCATGATGTTATATAGAGCATACTCTCTTTTCTATATATGTCCCCCTTCTGCATTTCTCTCCCCCACTGTCTTGTTCTTAGGTACCGTCAAGTTGTCTCTGACTCATAGTGACCTCGTGTATTGCTGAACGAAACACTGCTTGGTCTTGTGCCAGCCCCACAATCCTTGCTATTCCTGAGCCCATTGTTGCAGCCACTGTGTAAATCCATCTTGTTGAGGACCTTCCCCTTTTTCATTGTCCCTCCACTTTGCCAAGCATGATATCCTTCTCCAGGGAATGGTCCTTCTTACAACATGACCAAAGTAGGTGAGACAAAGTCTGGCCCTTCTCACTTCCAAAGAGCATTCTGGCTGCACTTCTTCGAGGACAAATTTGTTAGTTCTTTTAGCAGTCCACGGTACTTTCAGCATTCTTCGTCAATACCACAGCTCAAAAGCATCGACTTGTCTTCGGTCTTCCTTATTCATTGTCCAGCTCTTACATGCAATTGAAAATACCATGGCTTGTGTCAAGCACACCATAGTCTTCAAGGAAACATCTTTGCTCTTCAGCACTTGAAAGAGGTCCTTTGCAGAAGATTTGCCCAATGCTATATGACATCTAATATCGCCAGCATTATTTCTGTCTCCATGGCCAACTTTTCCAATTACCGATGATTGTTCTTTGTTTCCAACTTTTGCATTCCAGTCCCCAGTGATAATCAGCCCATCTCAAGTACATGTTTGGTCAATTTCAGACTGCAGACAATAGTAAAAATCTTCAGTTTTCTCATCTTTGGCTTTGGTGGTTGATGCATAAATTTGAATAATAGTTGTATTAACAGAGTTTCCTTGTAGGCATATAATAAATATTATTCTATCACTGACAGCATTGTACTTCAGAATAGATCTTGAAACATTCTTTGTAACAATGAATGCCACACCATTCCTCTTTAATTTGTTATTTCCGGTGTAGTAGATCATATGGTTATCTGATTGAAAATGGCCAAAACTGATCCTTTTCAGCTCACTAATGCCTTGGATATCAAACTTTGTGCATTCTATTTCATTTTTGACAACTTCCAATTGTCCTAGATTCTTACTTTGTACATTCCATCTTCTGATTATCAGTGGATATTTGGAGCTGTTTCTTTTTATACTGAGTTGTGCCACTTCAGCAAATGGAGGCCCCAAAAGCTCTACTTTATCCTGTCATTAAGATAGGCTCTACTCTAATGAGGCAGTTCTCTCCTAGTCATATTTTGAGTGCCTTCTGACCTGACAGTGTCATCTTCTGCACTGTATTGGACAGTGTTTCAGGGCTATTCATAAAATTTTCCAATAATATATCAGACAGTGTTTCACTACTATTCATAAGGTTTTCATTGGCCAATACTTTGAGAAGTACATGGCCTCTTCCTTCGACAGACAAGTTCATCTCCCTTAGATGTTCCAACCACTCCCCTCACTTCCTGGACTTCCTCCTACCTGTTCCTGCCAGCCCTGTCTTCTGCTGCTCCCTGCCACCTGGTGGCTGTCCCCTGCTTGTCTTACCTGTTCCAGCCCCCGGCCTTGTCTGGTGCTGCTCTCTGCTGCGTGGGGGCTGTCCCTGCCCTCCTTACCTGTTGCGGCTGCTGGCCCTGTCTCCCCCTGTCTACTTTCAGATTCATTAAGTGAACTTCTCTATTCTCTGTCCCTGCTGTCTACTTTCCCTTTAATTCCCTACTTCCTTTCTTAGTTCCCTTTGTAGGCTTATCTTTCTCTACCCCAAGGAACAATCCTAGGCTGCATTTATTACTCCTCATTCTCTTCAGAGGGATTTTCATCCACACCCTTGGTTTTAATTTCATATCCATGCCAATGTCCACTATTGTTCCACATCTTCACTATCACTTGTTATTGTTCACACTAACTCATTCACTACTGTTCAGTCGAATCCATCTCATAGAGACCCCTCCTTGGGTTTCTGAGGCAATATCACTGCGGAAGTAGATTGCTCAGTCTTCCTTTTGAGCAGTGGCTGGTGGGTTTGAACTGACAGCCTTCTGGTTAGCAGTCAAAATGCCTTAAACACTATGCCACCAGAGCTCCCCTTGTTAGTCTTTTTAATTTTAGTGATTCTGTTGTATATGCAAGGGGTTATGGCGGTGTAGTGTTTAAGGCATTTGGCTGCTAACCAAAAAGGTCAGTGATTCAAACCCACCAGCCACTCTGCAGAAGAAAGATGGGAGTTATCTGCTTCCATAGAAATTTATAGCCTTGGAAACCCAGTGGGGGTTGCTTTGAGTTGGAGCCAACTTGATGGCAGTGAGTTTGGTTTTGTTAGTTTATATGTAGTGGTGCATAATTGTGATTTTAATTTGTATTAAATCATTTATGCTCTTGCCTGCTTAGTAAGAGGATATACAGTTTGAACATCTCAAAGCTGCTCATACACAGCTATTAAATGTTGGTGTTCTTCAGAAGATTGTGCTCAGCTCTTTTTGCTTCTCACTCTACATGTTATACCAACATCATATTTTCTTCCTTTGTGTTTATATGTTACATCTTTTTTTAATGATTTCCAAATCTTCATATCCAAATCAACTTCTCTGCAACCTCAGACATATATCTGTCTACCTTTGAGACATTTCTTCTAAAAGCTCAACAGATACCTCAGATTCATTAAGTGAACTCGGTATTCAGTGATTCATTCAATAGAATCTATTTGATCTGCCAGAGATTTAAGACTGCTCCTACTTTCTTCTTTTTCATGTTTCTTATATGTTGTTATGTGCCGTCGAGTCAGCCCTGACTCATAGCGACCCCTCCTTGGGTTTCCGAGGCAGTATCACTACGGAAGTAGGATTGCCCAACCTTCCTTCCAAGGAGTGGCTGGTGGGTTTGAACCGCCAGCCTTCTGGTTAGCAGTCAAGTGCCTTAGCCACTATGCTGCCAGAGCTCCCTGTTTCTTATATAGCCAGTAATAAATACTAAGCTGTACTGCCATAGGTTTACTTTAGGCCTTTATAACTAATCTACTAAATTACTATAATATGCTTTTCTACTCTTGATTAGATGTTTTATAATAGAAATTGGAGTCTCAAGGCTGCAGTCAAGGTGTTAGGACTGGTTTCTCACCAAAGTTTGGAGAGGGATCCCCTTTCAGATCCCCTCAGGTTGTTGACAGAATTAATTTCCTTGTGACTATACTGTTTATGAGGAGCTCTGGTGGCGTAGTGCCTAAGGCATTGACTGTTAACCAGAACGTTGGTGGTTCAAACTCAGCAGCCACTTCTCAGA